TGCCCACACTTTGATGAGACCTGCAGTGACACTCTTAATTACCATCCAGGACTGTGGTCTTCACTATGCAGCTTAGCCTCTTTGGCCTTTCAGAGAGAAGTCCCAACACTGAGAGTGGAGCCGGGAATCACTTAGACTCTCCACAGATGGAGGAAGAGACAGCTGGCTCTGATAGAAATAGCTGTGGGTGGGGCCCAGAGGCCACCAGAGACAGTAGGGCTGTCCAGCCACGGCTCAGAATCCTCTCTAACTTCTTCCATCTTTTGGAAATCACATCAGCAGTCCAAGCTCCCAGGCCCAGGAACTCCTGCTTTGGCCATTCATAATACCTCACAGATGCTGCCCACCCCCTAGGTCTGTAGCTCTCTTAGGAGGGCCACCAGGATGGCTGCATTAGTATCTGAGGCAGATACAGTTTTTCACACTAGACAATGAACAGTCTCGTGTCTCCCTACCCTATGGAAGGTGGGGTACCGCCACTTCCTGACTTCACAGTACTAGCCACCCTGGATGGCACAGCCAGGCAGCATCCACTGAGTTTTTATTGCTTGACTAGTCTTGAAAAAAAAAAAAGGCATAAAGAGGAGGCTGAATTCAAGAGGCATGAGTACAAAGATGACCACCTCTCTGTTGAATTCGGGCAGTGGCTGATCCCAGTGTGATGTCACAGTGGGGAATGGGGCATGGGGACTCTGACAGAGGCCAGGCATCTGTCATGGTCGTGGAATTCCTCCCAGATCCCTCATTCCAAGACAGCACCAGGTCATCTTGGTGCTAAAGGTAGTGGAGAGAAAGGGTCTAATAAGAGCTAGACCTATGAGCACACCCCAACCGATCCAAATCCCAATGGCCTTGAAGCTCGAGGAGATGCGTAGATACCTTCCCTTCACACAGGCTGAGTTCTGAGGCCTCCTTGGAAGGAGACAGCACGTGGAAGAACTACCTCAGTAGGATTTCCCAATACAGAAGTGCTCACAGCAGCTCCCCAGGAGCAGAGCCTGCAGCAGGCATGTGGCTGCTAGTGGTTCCCTGCAGGAGCCTGGCAAGCAGGACAGAGCGTGGGCTGGGCAGCCCTCACATGTGCAAGTACACCGTCAGCCTGACCTTGCCGTGAGCCTAGAACAGGAAGTCCCCAGAGTGGGAGAGTGACATTCTCAGTCCTCACATGTATGAGCTAATAGCTGCAGGCTGGCTTCCCCAGGGGCTCTGCTGGGGATGGGGAAACCTCTCCTTCCACATACCAGAAACTTTGGTTCAGTGAAGGCGAAGTTGGGGGTGGGCTCTGAGCTTTCAACACTCAGTGCTCCAAAACCACATGCTGGGAGGGTTCACTTAGAGTGGGTTCCTTGGACAAGAGGCTTCAGGAGTAGTTAGGGACCAGAGACCTCCTTCCCACTTCCTGCCCTGCCCTACTGAATGAGGAAAGGCATCTCATGTAGGCCACAGAGGGAGGGAACGACACTCCACCCAAGGAGATGCCTCCAGTAGCTCATGACAGACAAACCCATATGAAGCCAGCTGTTGTGACTGTGACAGGAATGGCCTGGAGAGGACACTGAACAGCCTTGGGCAGAGTGTTGAAGGGGAAATCCAGGCATTTCCAATAGTTGCTGGCAGAAGGTCCCATGGGGAAGGAGGGAAGACTCAGCCTTGAGGTTTACCTCCTGAAACTACAGAGGCACCTCTGCCCAGATGTGAGACCTGGCACCCCCAACCTCCTAGAAGGCCATGTCTTCGTGTCTGAAGAGTGCTGGCCCCTTCCCCCAACATCATGCTAGAATTGCACTCCCCAAGACGATCCACTCAGTACCGCTGTGCCAGAGGCATCTTAAATGACAACCCGTCTAACTTGCTGGCTTGGAGCCAGACAGCACCTGTGGAAATGGGCAGGCAAAGCAGGCTGTGGAGGAAGCACTGAAAAGCTCTGTTCTTTCCCAGAAAACTTCAGACTCCCAGGAGAACTGAACTCCTATTCTGTTCCATGGGGTGGTCCTCTACCCCTATGACTGTGGCCTCCTGATGACCTTGACCCAGAATCTCCACTTGTCTTCCTAACAGCAGCCCTCCTCCCGACACTTTTATAACGTCTTTACCCCATTCAGGCCTGTATAACTTCCTAAAGGATTTGGGGCACGCCGGCCCTCCCCAGCTCCAGGCCAGGCATGGGTAGCCCTGTCTCTTTCTGCCACAGGGGCTTCTTGGAAGCTGGCAACCTGTCGTCTCAGAGTTTGGAGCAGGAGAGCTATAGAGGCCTGCAGAGATCCCTCAGAGAGCTGCTTCTAACTCTCTGGAGAGAGGCAGGCAGAGGAGACCCCATGATCCAGGGGTCCAGTCTGGAATGGTCCAAGCTGAGGTCAGTGAACCCTCACACAGTTCCTCTGCCTGTGGATGGGGTCAGCACACAGGAGCTCGTAGTGTTAAGATCAAAGGACTAGCAGGAGGGGAATCCTGCCCTCTCCTGGGATTTTCATACTCTGCTGGTATGTGTCCCTTGTCCAGGTCAAGTGGTCAGGGTTTCTCTCCTGGCAGGCCAACCATCTGGCTGGTAGATACATCCTTTAAGAACTCCAGATGCCATTTCCTCCAGTAAGAAGCCTCTGATGCCATCTTTTTTTTTTTTTAAACTAGAGTCTCACTTTGTAGCCCAGACTGAGCTCAATTCTGCATCCTCCCCGTTCAGCCCTCCCCAGTGCTATGATTACAGGAAAATTCTCATCTTGCCAGACCCCTTGTTGACCCAAACCCTTGCCAGTTTCCCACCAACTCTTGTCTGTTCAGGACAGGGTGTTGGGTACCAACGTGGAATGAAGAGTGACTAGGAAGGCACCAAGCCTGAGACAATGTTGCTAACGTTCATAAGAACACTCAATAAGTCAAGGAATAGATGTTTGCCATCTGAAGATTGATTTCATTTCACAGTCGGGCAACCGAAGTCAATTTGTAGCAGAGCAGACAGCATTGCCTGCTCCCTCCAATCTTTTCAATGACAGCCACCAGGTTTGGGTAATGGCCACGTGTGGCTGACTTTCACTGGGATTGGGACATTTGGGGCACACTTATTACCCGTGTTGTTGGCACACAGTTTGTCTGCTGCTCTTTTGCATCTCCCCACAGCCTCCGAAAGACTGTCCTTCTTCCAGAGATGAGAACAGGGCTGAGAGAGGGCTGGAAGGCTGGCTTTTCTGGACCAGCACAGCTAGTACAGAGTGGTCTGTCCTGTCTGGAGGCTCAGGTCTGACTCCTGCCTGTCTTTATAACTGCTGACTGCAGCTCCCTGGATGCAAGGCAGAACCATTCCCTGGCCTCTGCTTCCAGTCTATTTTTGTAACAACCAGGAGATAAGAGGCTGGCTTATGGGTCTCCCAACCTTCTCATTCCTTTGTCCTGCAACCAACAGGAGCTGTGGGGCACTATGGCCCTCCCGGAGCACTTATTTTCCATGTGGACACATACCCATGTGAGAGACTGTTGTAACCAGGAAATTATGTTCAAACCACTACATTTAGCAAATGCCTGTATTTAGCCAAAGGTCCTGTAACCAACACCACTAATTACACCCTGGGCACCTGTCTCTAATGAGCTCTTCGTGTGTTGCCTAGTCTGGGTGGCACCTTCTACAGAAAACCAACTGACCTCTGTGCATTCTGCCAGTTGCTCCAGATACAGGCAGGGGCTTATGCCTAGAGTGACACGGGAGAGCTAAGTGTCAAAGGACCTCACAGAGGACAGAATTTGTACACTGGGATTTAGCGGATGAGTAGGAGTTTGGCGAAAAGCCCTCTCCTGTCTGGCACAGAGAAAACCATTTCTCTACTTAGTGTTTTGCAAACACGGACCCAAAATGCCAGTAAAACTGAAGTCAGGCATCCCCAAGTACAAACAGGAAGAGCCAATCCTGGGCAGACCCAGCCACTACCTCTCCAATGTAACCGCAAGCCTAAACTGCTAGGAAAAATTTCCGTGTGGAAATAACGTGTAGGAAACAACCTGCCGGGAAGAGATGGGAGGAGCCTGGTTTTCACCTGCATGGACTCTTTTTTTTTTTTCTTTCCTCCGTTAGTATGTGCACAGGACGCCCAACTCAGGGCAAACAGAGAGGCAGTACAAATTTCTCTACTCCTTTGTCCATCCTGCCTCTTAACCAGTCCCCTCCCCCAGAGCGGCTGCCACCAGTTTGCTCTAGTCTTTCCACGTGTCGCGCATGCTGCTGCAGCCTAAAGGTTGCATCTTGGCAGGAGAAAGCCAGGCATTTGTGCAGATTCGCACACCCATGCGCCCTCCTCTGCCACGGAGAAGTTCATTAGCGTACGCGTTTGCCGTACATAGTGAACTGTCCAGGAAACTTTTATCAAACCTCCTGGCTCGCTTTCAGGCTAGTCCAGACACGGGGCCCCTAAGTTACCCCAAGCTGCAGTGGTCACCAACCAACGAGGCCATTTCAGCAAGGCCATGTAGTTTCTGGGGCCGCCACTGGTCAGCAGGGTCGGCCTAACCTCCTTTTCCGGTACAATGAGGGGCACTGGACCCCACTCGACTGGGACCCGGCTACCTTGAGCCCCTGGTGACTAGGTTCAGTCAGTCCCTGGCTCTAGCAGCCCGCAAGGACCAGGGTCTGGGGCTGAGGGCAGCAGCGCCACTGGTGTGTGGCGGGCGCGGAGTGGTCCGCAGGCCGTGGATGAAAGCCGGGGCCCAGCGCTCCCGGAGCCCAGCCCAGAGCGTGGCCGCTGGGGACCACGGGGACGGCTGGGGACCGCGGGGGACGCTGACAGCTGTGGCCGCGCCTCGCTCACCTCACGCGCGATCTGGTTCAGCGCATCGTCCTCCGCCGTCAGCCGCTCCCGGTTGGGGAGCCGCTTGCGCCCCGATCCCTGCGTGCCCATGTCCATCGGCGGCGGCGCACAGCTGCTGCGGGACCGGTCTCAGAGCCGCGCTCAGCCGGCCGCCCGCTCCGCCCCTCGCTCCGCCGCGGCGTCATGGCGTCAGCGGCGCGGGGCTGGGGACGCGGTGGGGACGCGGGAGGCCGGGGGCCAGGACCGCGGAGATCCTCGGGTACCCTGAAGACCCTGAAGTGGGACTCAAGGACGCAGGGTGTTGATGGAGATGACAACGCGATGGTGGCGAGGAAGCTGGGGACAGGGAAGCAGGAATCCCGGGTGGTGCTCTCGGTGCCAAGGCAAGGCAGGGACAGGATGCTGAAAGTGGCAGAGACCCACAAAAGAGGCTCCCTCATAAGGGCGGGCCAGCGGTCAGGGACCTAGAGGTGGCAGAATGTGAGCTGCTGGAATAGCAGAGCAGTGGGGACACAGGGACGAGGTGATACTATGAGGCCAGGGGCTGTTGTTGGTGCTCAGGGGCGTGAGTTTAGAGGGCATATGCTAGGAACTGGCATGCCACAGGTCATGGTTGGAACAGTGGGTGGCTGAGTGGAAACCTCTGCTGGGGTTAGCCAAAGGTTTTTAGAGGATTGGATGTACCAGAAGAGTTCGCACTGAGGATGAGCCCAGGTTCCATAAGCAGGCATCCCTATCGCAGCCAGTGGAGATGAAAGTCCGTCCTCAGGGAGTGAGAGCCTTGCTCTGGGATCAGGTCCAGGTGCCTTCAGATGGTTGCCCAGGTAGCAGTGACTCCAAGCACCCAGTGCTCTGGAACCTCCTGCGAGAACACCCAGTTCTGTATGCCTGTCTCTGTTCACATCACCAGCTGCGGCCCCCTGACTGGCCACTGGACTCCAGCTTCTGGGAAAGGGCCCAGCATATTCCTTGCTGTCTGTGTGAACGTCTCTGAGGCCATGGGCACCCCTGGGAACGATGAAGGCTGCTCTGGGGCTAAGCAAGGTGAGCAAAGTTCTTCTGGCCTCCTTGTCTCCTGGTTCTTAGTAGACTGTACTAGACAGGGCACCTGAAAGAGGGTCAGGCTGGGAAAAGCACTGGGCTATCCGAAGTTTGGGTGAAATTCAAGGTGACTGTAGCTGGGGAAAGACAGGAGGGCAAGGCTTCTGAAGTCAAGGCTGGCAGCTCTGCCCCCACTGGGACTGGGATGAATGACATTCTAATGTATGCCCAACCAAATTGTATGATCAAGTGTGAGAGCCCTTAGAAACATCGAAAGGGGCAAGAAGCAGACCATTGCCCCTCCTCCCACAGGGTCAGGGAAGCTGCCGGAAGTGCATACCAGGCAAAAGACGGTAAAGGGAGTGACGTGGAGGGGTGAGAGATTCCGACACACTGTTCGGTTACAGCCTGCTTGGCACACTGTAGGCACAAGGGAAATCCGGGTTAGCTGAACCTCCGTGTTCACACCACTTGGAGCCCCGTCCTCCTTAGGGATGTAATCCTGCCTGGAGAAGCCGTAGGCATTGTCTTTCTTCACCCAGGCCAGTTGGGGCTGCTTATCATCTCCCTAGCTAAGGTACACTGAGATGAGCCTGTGCCTCCCAAGGCTGTGCCCTACCAACCTATTCCTTCGTTCACACCTGTGCCACCCCTACCACCTGTCAGCTGACTGGCCAGGCTCTCAGGCACAACCGTGAAGAAGGCAGGCATGTTGCTGCCCTGTCAAGCAAGGTCAAGGAAATGCTGGGCACACCTTATCCAAAGCCAATTCCAAGTTCTAGCATTTTCCTTCTGGGAGAAGCCTGCCTGATACCTAAAACTTTTCCCTCTACCTTAGCTCCTCAGCCCTGCCCACTTGGCATCTCAGGAGCCTGATCCTTTTATGCTAAGGGCGTTCCACTAGCTTGGCTGGCACAACCTCCTCCCCAAAGCTTTCTCTTGTCTCACACAATATCAGTATACTGTTTCAGAGCAGTGAGAGAAGACAGCTCACAGATCTAAGGCCCAGGGCCTCTGTGCTCATCTCTGAGGTCCTCCTTAAAAACTAATGCCACCTTTAGAAAGGATCCAGAAAGAGTAAAGGGGCGGCAGCAGGGCAGCCTGGGTAAAAGACACTGTATGATTGAACCCTAGAGAGTTTTCTTCCCTGGATTTCTTTTTTCACTGGGCAAGCCCTGCATGGGGCTGGGAAGTTATAAGAGGTCCAGTCCAGTCTGTGAGAGTTTCTGGGGGAGAGGTCCATGTGCGCTATCACAGGGATCAAGATGGTGCATTGAATTATCATGTGGTCCTTCCCAGGCCTCCTCTACTGTCTTCCACCAGCAAAGGATGGCAAGACCTCTCTTGGACTATAGTGGAGAGTCATGGGGAGTTAATGCCAGGAATGGCTGGCAGAACGGAGCAAAGCATCTTGTGGTAGAACATGGGGCCAAATTTATGGGCACCAGTGGGACTGAGAGCAGGTTCTGTGTTCTGCCAGGAGGGTTGGTGGCTTGTCTCCTATGACCAGCCAGACACTTTCAGTTACTTCTTTCAATGACTCATATGCGTATTTCCAAAAGAATAAGGTGGTTCAACTCACCCTGATGGTGCCATCTTCAATACATGTCTTAGTTAGGGCTTCTATTGCTGTAAAGAGACACCATGACCACAGCAACTCTTCTAAAGGAAAACATTTAATTGGGGCTGGCTTATAATTCAGAGGTTTAGTCCATTATTGTAATGGCAGGAGACATAGTGGCATGCAGGCAGATATGGTGTTGGAGAAGGAGCTAAGAATTCTATATCTTGATCCACAGGCAGCAGGAAAAGACAGATGCACCGGGCCTGGCTGGAGCATAGGGTACCTCAAAGCCCACCCCCAGTGACATACTTCCTCCAACAAAGCCACACCTACTCCAATAAGGCCACATCTCTGAATAACTCCACTCCCTGTGACCAAGCGTTTAAACACACTGAGTCTATGGGGACCATTCCTATTCAAACCACCACACAACAATTTCAGCAAACTTCAAGTTTGATAGAGAAAACATGTGAAGGTTGTCTTGGGCTCTTTCTCTCTACCTCCTCCCCTCCCCTAATCCAACCAGAGGCCCAAACTTGTTTTTCCTTCACTTCTGATCAGGATCCCTGCTCCTCTTCATTCCACCATGGTCGGTTCCCAGCTCACTTAGACTTCTTCTCTCTATAGTGTTGGGGTGGGTGGTTTCCTGAGTGAACTGCACAGCGTTCTATAAACCACAGAGGGTCTATAAACCAGGAGGGGAGTGGGAGGCTGTGATGTCTGCCACCCTCACAGCATCTTGTGTCATTCTCAGGGCAGCTTCCTGAGGCCTAGCACCAAGCTTGCCTTTTTGTTTCCCCAAGAGCCTTGTTCAGGGTTGTGGATGAGTGTTGACAAAATGTACTCGAGGGGTTGAATAGATGGCTCAGCATTTAAGAGCATTGACTGCTCTTGAAGACCTGTGTCCAGTTCCCAGCACCCACATGGTGGCTCATAGCCATTTATGGCTCCAGTTTCAGGGGACCTGATGCCCTCTTCTAACTTCCTTGGGCGCTATGAATGAACACGGTGCACATACATACGCACATGCAGGCAAAATGCTCATCATAGTTGACTGCATACATAGGCTTTTCTATGCTGCTATGTAAAACAGAACAGAAAAACCAATTTTCTTACTTGTGGAAGAGAAATGCTGCAAATGCTTATCAAGTAGTGATGGAATCAACTTTCTCCAGTGTGGGTTGTAGTGGCTATTGGATCCATTGGCTTAACACACACACACACACACACACACACACACACACTCACACACACATACACACTCACACACACACACTCACACACACACACATACACACTCACACACACACATACACACACACACA